GCCACATAGTTCTCTGTGCAAATTGAAAGGGGTCTGAAGGAGGACAGCTGCTTCATTGTGCAGGTGTTGCTTGTCTGGGGTGCTATGGATGTGTACACCAGGTTCTTGCTTGGTAGCATCTTTCAGTTCTTATGATAGCTGATTCACTTTACTGGCTCAGGCAAGTGATTTAATTCAGGCTGCTTCCATATTTGTAAAATACCAATTGTGAGCCTCTGTTATGTCAATAAATTCATTTACTCATTGTGCAGCGCTGTCATACTGTATGATGGCTATCCTGCTGGAGATCACAGGGAAGCTGGAATTGTGTTTTTGATGCAGGATTTGTATCATACTTCTTAAATGAAGCTTAGTGCCATGCACTGTAAGCGAACAACGATACGAACTAATGAGCAACAACTTTTGACCTTGAGCAATGGTGGGTAGGGATCGTGTGAGAAGAAATGACAGTGATGATTAGAATCAAAAATGCCATGATGATGTTTGTTTGTGGGGTTGGACGAGTAAAAAGTTATGTTGATCAAACTAACCCAAGCATGAGGGACAGGCTGGGACCAGAAGTGATGGCATGTTGAAGGATAGACGTTATTTGTATGATTCAGCCATGAACAGCGTAAACTGTGCTGGTTTAGAAGGGAGAATGACCAACTGTAGGGAGCTGGAGCTGTAGAGGAGAGCAAATGCAGTAGTGGCGGCTCAGGCTGCTGTGCTTTGTGGTGACGTGCAGTGCCTTCACTGGTTCTCCTACGGGGTAAACACAATATAATACAGCTTTTGGCTGAATTGTCCTCCTCCAGCTAAAAATATTGCTGTCTACAGAGCTATAGTTGTTCCATATCCTGGCATTTTAGGTAACATGCCCTTTTTGCTGCATTCCTCTTCTTGTCCCAAGTTGAATTTGGAAAAGCTCTTACCAGCCTCACAGCCACCAAAATATGCAAGAGACAGCTGAAACCCTTAGGGTGAACTAGTTCCACCTTCCAGGTAAACAGCAGACTTAAGGCTTGTCCCAAGGATTTAACCTTCCTTCCTACCTGGCAAAACTTGCAAAAGGTTTTAAAAGCTTTTAAGATGAAAGTTTATATTTTGTTGTATATCCGCAATAGCTTTGGGCACAATCAGAAGAATGAGGAAGGCATAGCTTTGGGTGAGGACTGATGGATAACAGAACTAAGATTTCTTTCTGGGAAACATGAATGCACCATCCTCACCAGAGGAAAAGAGCAGTGCTGCTTGAATTCTGGTGTGTCCTCATAATGTTATGGTGAATTGCCACTTAGAAAGCAAGTAGCTAGACAAAGAGTAACTAAATGAAGAACGCTTCAGGAGAGCTGGGTCATGAGGATGCTTTTCCATCTTTGGAATGAAACAGAAAGCAATTTTACTCTGTGCAGACTTCCACCTTCTATTTCTGTCCTGTTACGGGGTAAAAACTGGCTTAAACAAATAAAACCCACAAAAACTGGTATAAACAATACTGAGAGCGCACTGGATTTGCACAGACTTTTCCAATAGCATGAACTCCATTAAATGAGCCATGTCCAGTTTTAGAATACTCCTGGGCTTGGCAATTCCTGTGGGTAGAGCTCCATGTTGTCTGAAAACTAAAATTCTAAATTATCACCCTGATGATGATGATACGTGATGAATGATCTGCTTGACTGACACGTACTGGATCGACTTTGGTCTGTGACATTTTTCAGACAATGTTTCAGTTCAGCTGAGTTTCTGAACCTCTTTCTGCATCTGGCTGTGTGTCCCGCCTATCTGTGGGTTCCGTTCATTTACCTTATCTTGCATTTTAATGGTTTCACAACATTCTGTGAGCTGGTTGGCACCGCAGCTTTGATAGGGATGAGGGAAAATCCCTTTTGCTTTCCTCAGTCAAATAAGTCAGGGACTGTTGCCTGCACTTGCTCCTCGAGGAACACAACTTGTTTGCTGGCTGTTTGCAGGTCTTCCTCGCGCTGACTTTTAGCCCTATCTCAATATTGGCCTCCCTCCTCCAGCAGGTAATTACTTTTCCTCTGTAGGGAGCAGTGTACATTAATACAAAATGCAAACCACACGAGCCTTCCACCCAGATTCCCACAGCTCCTACATCCTTTTCCCTTGCTCCTCTCCATGGCTGCTCTTGGCCCTTTCCCTTGCAGTGCTGGCTCTGTGGCCATACATTCTTGTCGCCAGTTCCCACTGTAGGTTTCTTGTAACCAGCAATGCATCTGATGCTGCAGCAAAACAGTTATTTAAATAGTTGGAAATGTCGAAATGCAGCCTAATATCTAAAGCTGTGGATCCTCTTGTTTATGGCCTGGTGGGATAGTCTCCCAAGGGCAAAAACGCATGCGATATGCAACATATTAATTAAGCTACCAGAACATGTAAAAGGAGAACAAATATAGAGACTTCAGGCTTCTGTTTACAATGAAACTTGAGGGGGTGAAGCTGGGGCCGGCTGCGCAGGCAGATCCACCCACACGGGGCTGCAGTCTGCTCTGCACCCACCATGCCATTAACCCCCAGCTGGAGGGTGACCGCTGCTCAGCAGGGATCTGGGCCTCTCCCATGGGTGCTCCTGCTTTGTTAGTGGTGTCTCCAAACGAGTTCTCAGGGGCTTTGGGTTTGAACTTAAAAAACCAAGCTGGGACTGCTGGAAGTTCAGAACAGTGGTGTAGTCAGCACTTAAAAGAACTGTGCAAGGAAACACGATCTGAGTTGTTAGTTCGTTTGATCGGTTCCTGCCATTCTGAAAGACAAGGACTAGAAATGGGTGTTTGGTGGTGTTTGTATTTGTTCTGAACTTCAAACTAATCTGTACTACCTGCAAGTATTGAAAGACAATATTTTCCACCATGATTTCACCAAAAGGTAAAACCCTAAAACTAAATTTTCTTAACCCTTCTAAAGCAGTCTTCGATGCTCGTGTGGTTTTGCCATTGTTCACCCATGTGTCTTGGGCTGAAAGCTTTTATCATAGATTAAATAACAAAAGCTTTCACTCAGGTGCTGAATGAGAGCATACTATTATCATAATATTAACTTCACCTTTATCTGAAGAACTCGCAGTGCTAAATCTGGAGAGAAAGCAGGATATAATTTCTGCTTTATCAGCTAGAGAAGGGAAAACTAAATTGCATTGTGCACACGCTGAAATCTCGCACCTTCTGAATAAAGCACTTTTAGAAAATCTAAAGTCAATGGAAGCACAACTTTGGGGAAAAAAGAAAAAGGTTCAACTTCAAATTGTCAAGGGATTGTAGTCTGTATTTAATAAATAGATAATTTTTAAATAAACTGTTAAATTCGGCAGAATGTATTGATTTAACAGCTTGGTATGTCCTTTTGTAAAACCTGGTTTTCAGTTTTAGGTGTGTAATTAAGGCATTTGAATGGTGAGGGTGCCTAAGGCCATTGCAGAGTTAACTAAAAAGCGTTCAGATGGAGACGTGAACAGTTTGTGTTTCTGTGAAGAGCTTCAGCAACAAGTATGAGGACTTTATAGCTGACCGTGGACTTTACAGCAGTGCCGTGTGCTTTGACAGGAGTAGCTCCTCACTTACAAAGTGATGTTCTCCCGGATGTATTATTCCCACGTGTATAATTTCAGTACCAAGTCTGTTTCAAGTAACGCGTTACCTTAGATTTAGGAGCGATGACTTTTCTTTTTTTGCTCAAGTTTGGAAGAAGACCCTCATTCTGCGTCGCTGAATCTGAATCTGGAGTAACTGTCTGGAGGGTCCTAAGCGTATTTGTTACTCTGGTTTAAGTCTGAGGCATGGAGAAGGTTTATGAGGGATTGCTGCTGCTTATTTTTTCCTAGGTTGCGTATCCCCATTAAGATGTTAATTCATTGTAACAAGAGATGTTTGTCTCGTCATGGCATTTGTGCACGCTGGTTTGAATCGCTGACAGGACTGACAAAGCACTTTCTGACTGAGCTGTACTCAGACGTGTGTTCTGGTATTTAAAATCACAGTAAAGCACACATTTTGCTCTTTCTGAAGGAGCTGGCAGTGCATCTATCTGATGGTGGAGTAGCAGTGTTTATAAAACAACTTTCCAGGGCTGACTGTCAAAGAAAATGAAAAATGGCTTTCCTGATTCTGTAAATTCTCTTCCCCAGAAGCAGTGAAACCATAAATCAGTGTTCCTGGCAGCTAATTGCTGAGCACTGACATGCTTCAGTCAAGTGGGGGCATCATTGGTCTTTCACAACTAGGCAATATGGCTAGAATTGCTCTATTTTATAAAATATCGCTCTATTTTAACCCTAATTTGGGGACTCTCTAGCTATAAGGTATGCAAGTTTGTGCTTTTAATTGTATTCTTTTTGAAAAATAAGGGGTTCAGACTTTCCTCTCTGATCCAGATTTTGGATTTGTCAGGCAAATAATTCTGTTCATTTACATCTCAGAAGTTTTGCAAGTGATGGTATTTTTGTAGGGAAATGAGGACATGTTTCTTGAAAGCACCGGCTGCAATTACTGAGCTCTCTGCTGAATTCTGTGGTGAATGCTAAAGCCTTGAAATAAAATTGTTTTTATATTCTATTCCATTGTATTTCTTCAAAATACTTTTCGGGGGGAACTATTAACCTATTAGCTGATGGTCCTTTTAAAAACCACCTCTGATACGATGCAATCAGAGCTTCCAACCATACATCTGTGAGGCGAAGCTGCATGGTGGTGCCTGGGAGTGGTGGCTGCAGCCCCGGGGCTGTAAATCCTTGGTTGGAGCCCCACAGCCTAGCAGGATGTGGCAGACTGGACCCTGTGCCCCCACAGCTCAGGATCCCATCACGATCCAGTATCCTTCGGAGCCGAGGGCAGTGGTGCAGGATAACAACTTTCAGTTTGTGTGTTTTGCAGGTTGCATATACTGTAAACTGACAGCTGTGTGGGACATCACCTCACGTCAAAGTTAGGCCAATTAATGTTAATTCTCATCTTCCATTAAATTAAATTCTTTTCTCTTTTTTCTTCTTTTTATTTTTTTTCCAGCCGAGCCCAATACCAAGTCCCGTCCTGGGGAGGAAGCCAAATGCGAGTCAGTCCCTGCTCGTGTGGTGCAAAGAAGTTACAAAAAACTACAGGGGAGTGAAAATCACCAACTTTACAACATCGTGGAGAAACGGGCTCTCCTTCTGTGCAATACTGCATCACTTTAGACCAGATCTCATGTAAGTTGTGTGCTTTCTGCCTGCATAAGCTAACTCTCACAGAAATATACAACATAGAACTTTGCACAAAAAGCAAATCTCCGTTCATTTCAGGTGCAGATCTGTTTTGCCCTTTCCTTTTTAAAAGAGAAATCGTCCTTTCTAAGAAGGCAGGTTGAGGAAAGCTGCAACTTGCCGACCTCTCTGCTCTCCCGTTGCCCAAACAACTGTTTCTCCCCTCGACGTGATTTGTTTTTTCTTCTCCCTAATCTTACACAAAGAACTGACTTCAAGATGATTATGAAAATTGTGCTAGTGTTGAAATGAGATGAGAGAAATAAGCCTGTAGCTCTTTGTACTCTGACAAGGAGAGATTACCTCCTGGTAAATTTGGTTGTCAAGGCCAGCCTTCAGCCCCTGCCTTAACTTCTTTTTGAGATGGAAAGCTCCAGGCAATGAAACATGTCATCGGGGCTTGTTTGTTTATTTATTTATTTATCCCTTTAATTTTCCACGCTATTAGTTTTGTTGATTGAATTGCTGTGAAATTGCTAGTTACTGTATGATATTATTGCATGTCAAATTTTTTAGATTCGGTTTGTTTTCAAAACTGCTGCTTTTTATCTAATACTGTACATACCCACTGTGCCATTTTCCCCCTCAGTGACTACAAGTCCCTGAATCCTCAAGATATTAAAGAGAACAACAAAAAGGTAAGAACTGCCAGGAAGGAAAAAAAAAAAAAAGCAGACGTAGCTTCAATTTTGGCTTCGCTGCAGGTTTTTATTAATTTTGGAAAAGTGAGGTTGTTTTGTAAGGTCAGAACTGCAGCTCACAGAAGGTATTCAGCCTCCTGTGGCTCAAATCGGATGCATTATTGACTCCAGTTTGCCATGGTCTTTAACATTCACCACAAGTGCAAGGCTGGCATTAGGCTTTAATATTTCTGCGGCCTACATTAACTGCAAAAACATTTTGTGAGCATTTCTCCTATTTTTTTTCAATCACACACATAATTAAAAAAGAAAAAAAAAGAAATGGAACTGTTCCCAGATTGTGCTATGTGAGACTCCTAGTTGTTTGAATAGGGCTCCATGTATCAGTGACAGGCAGTGTTGCTGTTGTGGTGAACTTTGCGTTTTTAAAGCTGGAATTTTACACCTATCTTGAAACTGTACAGCTGAGAGAGGTGACAGATGCAGAACCTGTGCTTTTCTGCAGCAGGGAAAGTTTAGGTGGAGAAGTGCTGGGACAACACTTGGCAAACAAACCCAGCTGTTTGCAGCATTGTGCACCATATTCCTCCATGGTGCAGAGATGGGAAATATTTATCTGGAAGAAGCAGCAACTTATTTGGGGAACCACCAGGAGGCCTTTATTTCCACTCCTAGTTTTAGATACGTTGCAAACTTTGGGATTTTCACATGCCTGAGTTTGGCCCTAAGGACATGGAGAAATGATAATTTTCACATGAGTCACTGATAATAAAATGGTTCCTGAAGATTGCCTGATAATTGTTTTTAAGTGCTTTTCTTCTCTGTGCTGTGACTTCTGCCCTGCTTTAAACATGCTGGCTTACGCAGGGAGAAAGGTTTGATGGATTTTGAGTAAATTAATGCAGTTCGATGCTCTATAGAAAGTATAACTAAAGAATTTTAGATTGTAGATATGTGGAATTTCTGGAAGTGCTTTGCTGAAGTTCATTTGTATTTAGGGTAATTATGTTTTACTGTATCTGAATGCTTACCCATTATCCAGAAAGTTACATGTTAAAACAGTGGTTAAGTGTTACAGATAATGAAATATCCCCGAACTGCTCTTATCTAATGAGTGATTTGCCCGATGATATCCTCTCCATAATAACAGGGGGTCTTGTGATGACCTGAGTGGATTACCCGGGACATCACAGCGTTGTCTGCGACCGTGTGGTTTTGTACTTCAAGTTTTGTTGGTTGTACGGGCTAATTAAGCTGGATTATAACAAAAGGAAAGAGTAGATTGTTAATTAAAAACGTTAGCAGTGCGATCAGTCATCTTTTCTTTATGAAACTGTGATGGCGAATGGGGAACTTTGTAGCCTGTCTCTCTAGCAGGATCTCGTTCCAGTCCTGAAGGAGCTGTGATTGTTGTTATTGTGCAGTTTTTCCTTTCATCACTCCGCAGCCCTCTGCCTGACAGCTACATTGAGTATCTCGGTTGCTTCCTGCAGATTTATTTCCTGGTCTCACACAGTTCTGCCCGATAACCCCACGTGCCCTCGGTGGGAGTGAACGCAGCGCTGCCAACAATGGCTGCCTGTAAATTCCATGCAGATATGGAGCACGTGTGACAGCGATTCCTCCTCACCAATTAAAATAACATCTGTGGGTGAATAGGACAGTTTTCTTTGTCTGAAGCATCTCCTTTTTTCCCCTCCTAAAGGAGGAAAGGAGCTAAGAGGTGGCTGTGACTATAAATTAAATGTTAATCTGTAGGAGTGTATGTTGCAAAAGTGTGTGACCTGTTTTTTTTTTTTTGTTGTTTTTTGTTTTTTTTTTAAAAAGACAGAGAGAGAAAATCTTAAGAAAGAACTTACGTGGTGTAATTGCTGTTCATAATAACGTGTTGTTTCCAAAAAGTCCATCACTGGGGTTTCTTTATAATGCACACAAGTCATTTGCCAAAGTGGTGCTGCCAGCAATGCTGAATCAAAAAGGGCATTTACCTGTGACATCTGATCCGGGCTGGATGTCAGTGCGTTATGTAATTGGGAAGTGGCTGGAACTGCCTGGGTGCTCCCGCTGATGGATCGCGACTGACGGCTGTCAGTCTGTGTGCAGGAAATTAAAAAACACTTCATCAAGAAGCACTAAAGAGGTTCAGTGTCCTGACTATTCCAGTATGTATAACTATCTAAAAAAAAAAAAAGCCAATGCATTTTTGGTGCATTGTGCTCATTGCAATTTCTGATTTCAGGAACAGAAGAGAAACCAGGGCTACCTATGAGAAAATTGAATTGCTGTACAGTGGTAGTACAGTACATAGGTTCTCAGCTGGTTGTGGTGCTACTTAAATCTCTTATGTGCCTAACTATACCCATAGAACCTTCCCAATTACATTATCCAACTTTTAAAATTTATTTTATTTGACTATTTCCATTTGATCCTTAGTAAATCACAGTGAATAGTTCATCACACTTATGACACACTGGTGGTGTGGTCCCTTCTCAAGGGCAGGAATGTTTCACATTGCTCATAACGTGTTGTGCACTTGGAAAATGCAAGCTGTTGAATGACACAAGGCTGAGACTTAATGGGGCTGAAAGGATGGGACATGAAGTACAGTCCTAATAATGAACTCCTGCTTTTAATTACTTCATCTTGAAGTAGCTTCATCAGTAGTACTTCATCATGAAGAAGATTCTTTTGACTGAATGATTGCTGTTTGGAAATGTTGATATATATTCTGAATATTCAGTTGGCACATCCAGTTTCAGGATGCCTTTGATGGTATTTTTTCCAGTTTTTGACCATTTCCCATGCGATTTCTCAATGCATTTGTACTTGAGTGATCACCTTCACAAAAGGTACCATTTCATAAGGAGAAAATCATTTTAGAACATACATTTCAACAGAGGAAGGTAGAGTTACAGGGTTAGTGCTGAGTTAAAAGTGGCATTGTCTCCTCACCTTTAGGCTGGCAGCCATGTTTTATAACAGGTGCTCATGATCACATCCACAGTTTGATTCCACAAAATGGTAAGCACACGTTTAATGGTGTGTGGGAGTTGCTCGTTGGCCTCAGTAGGATCAGGCAGGATCGTGGCTAAACACGCGTGTAAACATTTGCAAAATCAGGGCTTAGGTATGCCTCTGTTTAATGAAGTGTAATTTGACTTGGAAAATGCTTTCTCATGCTCTGTTGATGCCACGTTACAAGCTAGTTACCAACCAGTTAGAAACACCAGGCATTTGTCAACACACTGGAAAGTCGAGAAGCTCCCAGGTTCCTCGCAGAGGAGGAGAAGCCATCACACCCAGCCATGGACATGTGCAGCGTCTGACTGCTATTTATAGTGGCTGTGAAGCATTTGCATGCCCATCTAGATACCTAGTGCTCTTCAAAAGCAGCTGAGCAAGAATGTGCGTTGTCCAGACTGGCAACAAGAGGGATGGGAAAGAGGTGTCTGGCATTGTGGAGTTTGTGTTAACCCCAAGTGTCCCGGAAGAACCGAGCTGCCTGTAGGTGTGATTTGCAGCTCCGCCAATGGGAGCAGTCCTTTCCAGTTACATCTTCACCACTTCAAGCAGGTGCTTTTTCTAGCAGGTCTGAAACGCTGTTCCCTCCTACACTTTGCAGACCCTTGGAAATATGCCTGGGATTTGGTTTTACAAGCACATAAATAACAAGTTTTAACGAGTATGAAAGAGTTTGGGTCAAGTTACATCTATGGGCTCTTGATGCTGTGGACTGCTAACCCAAGCCTAGGTCCTTTCATTCCTGAAATGCTGACTCCCACTGTCCTCAGTGAGGGGCAGCAGGTTATTAATGGCACTCCATCAGCTCTGACCCACTTAGTGAGTCAAGCAGCAAACCCTGGTGCTGCATCCATTCTGCAGGCCAGCATGGATGTCTTGCTCCGCTTCCCAAAGCAGCCTGCTATGGGTGAGTGTCCATCCATCCTTCCTGTGCCCTTAGGCTGCCCACCTACAGACCCAGCCTTTTCCTGTTCTTCTGCTCTGTCTGGAGCTTCCTATCAGCAAATACTATGTCTTTGTTTTGTGCTGCTGCTCCTTCTATATCTAGGCATAGCTCCTCTCTTACAAATGGCATGGCCGTCTCTCATAGTCAACCTTCCCATGAAATGATTCCTCACCAAAGATCAGCAGAGAACATTGGCTGCCATGAAAGGGAGTGCTCTGAAAACCAAGACAGTATGAAATTGCAGTTAATTTCCCTCCTCTTTCTTTTCTCCAGCCTTTCAAAACTAGGTAAATAAAGGAGATTGTGTGTAATGAGAGCAGAGCTGAAGTCAGTGGCATGCATTACTGTTTCCTTGCAAAAGGACAGGTTCCCTTCTGTGTCTTAAATGTAGGATCTTTTTTGTTAGAAACACTGCTGGTAGGGTAGGTGGAGCTGGGCTTTGCTAACAGGAGGCCTTCTGCAGCCTGTAGATGCAGCAGTGAGTTCCAGGGTTAATCCAGGGTAGTAATAATTAATTGTAAATTGAGAAACGGCTTTAACTCTTCAAAACTAGAAAAACCTGATGCACCAAGCCCACTCAGAACGGAAAGAACACAATGTGGCCTCACAAACTAGAAGGCTTTCATTCTTCAGCTTCTACAGAGTAAAGTAAAGCATGAATGAAATGTGCTCTTTTTTATAAATTTATACCAAATTTACAACAGAAGTTTTAAAATGCATTTGTTTGCTGGATGGTTGTGATTCATGTCCTGTATCACCTAATCTGTGACCGTGTTCTTTTGGGCTATCTGCACATACATTGTTTTTCATCAACACAAATCGCAGCAATTACACGACCAATAGAAGGGAGAAGGTTGATCACCAGTGATAAAACCCAAGATGGATTAGTGTCATGTTTCTTCTATCTTTGCTCCTTATCTTAAAAAGCCATCCTTTGTTGCTTTTTTTCTGTTCCATCTTTCACACTTTTTTCCATTTGCTTGTTTTCTGCTGCTGGAATGGGAACCAGTGAAGGTGCCATGGAAGATTTTCCTAACTCAAATACAAGGAGTTCTACACTGCAGTTTCATGAACGTCTTTATAGTAACAAAAGTGGCATGAGTTTGAGTAATAAGATTTATTGTAGTATAGGAGCATGCTAGGAGTATTCAGAACAGTGCTGTTTGGATGTGTTTGTGAGTCGTATCCCCTTGATCTGCATTACCATGAAGATACCCCAGGAGATATCTAGAATCCATCAGGAAAAGTTGATGAGTTCAGATGGGGCCGTGCAATGAAAAATAGTAAATACCAGCCCACTGCAATAAACCAAAAGAATAAGTGGTAATAGAGGCGAGTCCGTACTGTTCCTGTAACACTGTAGCATGTTTGTTTGCTTGAAATGTTATGACAGGTAAGAAAGCGCTGTATTCTAATCTCTGTTTTGCCTCTTTTTAAAGGCGTACGATGGGTTTGCCAGCTTGGGAATATCACGACTGCTGGAGCCTTCTGACATGGTTCTGTTGGCAATCCCCGACAAGCTGACTGTTATGACCTATCTCTATCAAATACGGGCGCATTTCTGCGGCCAGGAATTGAATGTGGTTCAGATAGAGGAGAACAGCAGTAAAAGCACATATAAAGTGGGTAACTACGAAACCGACACCAACAGCTCCGTGGACCAGGAGAAGTTCTACGCAGAACTGAGCGACCTGAAGCGGCAGCCTGAGCTGCAGGCACCGGACGGCGGCCTGGCGGACTTTGCCTCTCAGGATGACTCCGTGTTTGTGAACGACAGCGGGGTCGGGGAATCCGAAAGTGAGCATCAGACTCCTGATGACCACTTAAGCCCAAGCACAGCTTCCCCTTCCTCCCGCAGGGCTCGAAGTGACACGGACCCGCAAAAGTCCCAGCAGAGCTCTGGAAGGACTTCTGCCTCTGAAGAAGTTGGGAAGTGCAGCAGTACGGATGCAGCACAAGCACAGCCCGTGGGAAGGAAGAAATTGCTGAAAGCTGACACTTTAGACTTAAGTGACTTGGCACATGTCAGTGATCAAAAAGAGGATGCATCTCCCACAATTGCTTGTGAAGATAACGACAAAAAAAGACACCAGAGTTCAGACAACACCGTTGGCTTCTCAGAGCAGAAAAAGCTGGGGCATATGGGATCCCCAGAGAGCATGAGAGAAGATCCTGGATCACATGGCATGAAGCAGAGTTTATCTCCTACTTCTAATCTTGGATACTTTTATAATAAGGATGTGGATTTTGCAAAGAAAACATGTGCTTCTCCGAGGCAAGCTGAATCTGATTCTGACAGCGATGCTAGATTGACTTCAAATCATGCAGATCCATCTGCAAAGGCAGCCCAGGTAAGAGACTGCAACTTTCTGTGTGCCTGTGAGTCAGCACGGGGATTCTGTTTGAGTCGTTCCTCAGTGGGAAGGTGGGTGGTACACACTGCCATAGTTGGGCAGTGGGTATTTTGACAAGTAGGTGATGCTGAAAAAGCCATTCAGTGAAAAATGTATTTACAGGACTTGTCCTGTCCACTTAGTGGCAATGCCTTTCTTTGAAATATTGCATGCAATAGCATAAACTCAAAAAAAAAAAAGAAGACTTATCCGTTCATTGAGCCATATTCAAAAAATGTCAGTTTTTAATGACTTGAAATATCCAAACATATTTCCAAATCTTATCTGAGAAACCACACGGCCTTGTGAACATAGCCTGTGATGGTGAGGTAGAAACTCCAGAATATTAAATTATGCTGTTCACTGAATGGCCTCAGGCGTGTTTCTTAACCACAATATCATTTTCCTTTCTATAAAGATAAAAAGTGTATGCCCACCTACCTTGCAGATTTATTGTGAGGATGAAAGTTGAATATTATACAAACACTAAGCATTATCAGTAAATAGTATCAATCACAAAAATATGTAAAAAATGTTATCAGCCCTGTTTACAAAAATCCCAATTTTACCCCATGAAGAACTTTCTTTAGTTTTAGCTTGGTTTGGCTTTGTACCATTAGTTGTGATAAGAGAAGAATACAGCCAGTCTCTTGGCATTGTAGATTGCTTCAAACGTTTTTACATTTTTTCCCAAGCAAGCACCATGAGGATTCGTTTTATTGCAAGAGAAGCAGCCCACAGATGGGTGATAATGGCCAAATACTACTTGCACAGCCAGCTAATTTCTTTCCTTTAATCAGTGGAGTCCGGTGACATCTGCTTTCTTCAACCTTGAGTACCAGATGAGAAAGGAATGATGTGACCCCACATGGAACACAGTGTCGTGCAGCGGGGAGGGGTGGGATCTGCTATGAGATTTTCACGTGCAAGGTTGTAGGACAAGATGGCTTTAGAGACTTTTCCCTGTTACTTGTCCTCTGTGTATCTGCACACCGTAATGAAATCTCACATTCCTCAGTCTTAAACCTGAATGCTCGCTCGTTGTTGCTTAGTCTCGACTGTTTCAATTTCCATGTGGTGGAGGAGGAGCACAACCTGCAGTGTCTCTTCCAACTCCAGCCCATGTAAAGAGATATATTTCCCAGAATCTTCACTATTTAGCTTGACTAAGAAGTCGGCACTTGGGAGTTTGGAAGCGTGGGAGCTCACTTTGCCCATGCAGAAGTCCTCCTTCCATTGCTTCTGCTCTGCAAGGTCATCAGTCACATGCATGAAGAAGGGGCTTTCTTTAAATATGAGGTAGGAACAGATATTTTGGCAGGCTGTTTTCTCTTGTACCCAGCCTCTCTGTGTTCAGTTTAAGTTAGAAATGAACGACACCCGTATAAGTAGCCAACGAAGCATTATATTTGCATACATATTAAAGTAAATAAGTAAACACTAGCACATTTAACATGGTTACCTTCCATGAAACCAATTATTTTTTTTCCACAGTTGCAGCTTAAAGGCGTTAAATGTTGATAGAAATTAAGTTTTAAGGGGAAGGGAGAGAAATCTATTTACATTATAAAGACCTGTGAGTTTTGTTTTAATTTTACGTTTTGATTATCGTTACTTTTCATTTCTGTAGAGTGCTGTGTCACCTCATGAAGCTATAATCCATGTGACTCCTGATCTTTGTTGTATAGGAAGGCTCCTGGCTACTAACTACTGTGTAAATGTTAAGTACCCTGAGGCTACCCTGCTGTTAATTATATTTCTTTATTTTTAAGCAACGAATGTTGTCAAGACAGGAAGAACTTAAAGAACGAGCAAGAGTTCTGCTTGAGCAAGCAAGAAGAGATGCAGCTCTAAAGGCAGGGAATAAGCAGCTAACCAATACGATCATCCCAGCCCGCAGTAAGCAGCTGAATGATGTAAGAAACATTGCCCAGTGTGGCAGTTTACATAGTTAACATTTCCTGTGCGCGTTGATGTTTTTGTGGGAAACACGTTTGCAGAACTCAGCTTTCTTTTCGGCACCGTGTCCCGGTGCTCTGGTTAGCCGTGTGCCCTCCGTGCACCTTAAAAGCCTGTTTATCCTGCTGCTGCAGCAGGCAGACTGATGCCTTACACTGCACTGGAGGCAGAGGTCTGGGAGCACCTTCTTTGATTGGCACTGCAGCTTCGAATAGGGCGAAAAACAAAAGTTACTTGTTAAATGATAGTGGAGTAATTTATGCTATTTCTGATTGCCTCTCTTTTTTCACTTAATGTAAATGCGTTTCCCGAGCCTGTGATGTCAACTGCTTGCTGCTTCATAAGTGTTACCGCAGTGAATGAGCTGCTTGTGACAGTCTTGTAAAAGAGTTGATGGGACAATTCCTTTTTATCACGAAAGTTGATTATGCTGGTGAGGTGGGAAAGTGGAGCTGGGGAATGAGCTCCAGTGTGGAAGCAGCTATGGTTGCATCTCCGTTGGCCTCAGTGGTGACCTGGAAGGATGCGTACTCTCTGGAGATGAAAGCCAATTAATTTTTATGCAAACCTTAGCAATGTGGGTTTTGTGATTCTAACTATTGTGTTTTAGAGACTGTACTGGCAACTAAGAATGCAAATGTAACTGAAAAATAATGATACAGAGAAAGGCTAGAGTTTTTACTGCTTTGCATCTTTGAGAGGCTAGTCCTGAGGGACAGATTCAGCTTTTTATATAAATGGGATCTCGCAATCAGAAAATGAAGACAGTGATTTACATGTCTTATTTCACTCTCAGCTATCTTGGGTCCATGCTGGACATTTTTTTTCACATCAGTAATTCCCCTGCAAACTGCAAATATTTCTCTTCTCTTTTTTTTTTTCCTTCAAAATGTATTCATGTATGCATACGGATCTTACTTGTCTAATGATAGTATAATGATGCGTAAAAATTGTCACAATTGTTTTGTGTTTGACTGTTTTCCTAAACAAGTCTAGCTTAGTATAAATCTCATACTGGATTTATTTCCTTTTTTTTTTTATGTGAACAGTTTTTCATATACCGAACATAGAGGAGGGACGCTATCAGCAACGACTCAAGCAGAATTAACTGTAGTAAAAGCTGCCCAACATTTTCTTCTTGCTTTCCAAGTTTTTATAACTCGGTTAGTATTTAATTGTTTGAGCTGAAATTTTCCATGACAGCTCTCTGCCTCAGGGTAAATTTTTGGGTTTTTTTTTTGAAGTTAAAAAAAAAAAACCAAAAAAAAAAAAAAGCTACCTATTGAGCCGCTGCTCTGAATTAGGTTAGGTGGAGCATTGCTTTATCCATGTGAAAAATGGCTTATGGGAAAAAGGTTCCATTCCTTTGAAAAGTCTGTTCAGAACAATTGAAGTTGGGTTAATAGCACGAGATCATTAGAGAGCCTTGAAAATCCAGGGAAGTTTGTGTCAGTTGAAATTATCTGTATGGACACAGCACAGCCTGAATGCCTTTTACTGTTGCTCTCCTTGTGACCAGGGTCCATTCTGATGCAGATCGTAGTATTGGAAAGCAAAACTTTCTCTCTTAAGCTCAAAGTCCTCCTGCTGATGAAATCCAAATGGGAAGAAATGGAGCTACTGCACTGGCATGCAGAGGAGAGATGCCCCAGCAGATGGGCAAGGAGGTAGACAGCAATGCAAACACAGACAGAAGTGAAGACTGTGTCTAGGCTGTGAAAGCCAGCTGAATGATGAGAGACAGGGACAAACCTTTCAGGACTAATCAGCCTTGTGCAATTCAGGCATCTGGATTAGCCGTAGGACCTTACTTCATTTGTTAGAGAAGCTGCAAAAGAAATTAGATGGAAGCCTATAGAGGAGAGAAAGGCTGTCTCTTCAGGCTGCCCTGTAGAGTCAGAATCTCTTGCTGACTTTGGGCTGGGGATGTGCCTCAAACTCAACATGTTCAAGTTGGCAGAGTCCTCAATTTCGTGTTTCCAAACCAAGATTATTGGGGACTGACTTCAGAAAGTTTTGAATGCAGCTAGCTGTAGCCAAGCCAAGGAGAACCAGTATGAGGTGTGCAGATAAAGACCATATGGAGTAAGAACCAGTGTGCAAGGATTTACAGCTAATGTAAATTCCACGTACTCTGATTTTTGGCTTCTTGACTTAGAAAGCTCAGTGTTCTCTTAATGCATCCCACTGGGAAAGATGCATTTGAAAGGGATTGTAATAAACGGATATTGGTATAATATTAATATCTGATATATTGTGTAAATGTGACATGTTATATGTGTCCATAAATGTATATGTTCTAGATGAGGGTGTATGTATGCATTAACATGTATAGATCATAAGATACTTTTTTTTCTTGAACTTATTTGATGCTGTTTACTACAGGCCATTGCTTACATGCTTCTTGGAAAATAGCAGAGATTACTCAGTATTTTGGGGTCATTGAGGTTAATGATAAGAACCTTCACTCAAGTGTCTCTTTCTTAGTACACTTCAGCAGAGCTGTGAGGGTCAGTGGGCAACCTGTGTGCAGTAACATGCAGTGTGTTACCACATGGCAGTTCTGGTGATGAGAACAGATGTCTTGTTGCAGGAGTTGGTTTAGACTAATTTGGGGGATAATTTTGAGCGGGTTTCAAGAGAAAATGGATTGAAACAGGAACACCTAATTTTAAATAAAAAAGCTTTAGATTCCAGGGGCAGTGCTTTCAAACGTTGCTCTTCAAGTCTGCAGTTGCATCTTTTCCTGGTACCTTCATTTAAAGAGCTTTTGGCAGCCTGGCCTTTGGAAATCAGGTGCCCCGACTAAGCTGCAGTCACTGGTTACTTTTGAACATCTTGTCTCTTGGGCGTTGCTGTACTGCTTTACATTTGCAATACGAGAACTATGAATTGCTGTTTTCTAAGTAAACAAATGAGAACAATATACAGTGCATGGGGTTGTGTTCCTGCTTGAGGTGAACCTGAGGGACAAAATTTCCAAGTCATAAATATAGCCTTCCTGGTATGCGCCCACCTGACGTGTCGTAGAAGTCTTGGTCTTCTCATGTTTGTGCTCCAGGGTTAGGCCCCTATCAGTGTTCTAATGGGCTTTACTTTTTTTTCCTTTTAGCTCAGACATCAGTGACATTTTTGGAGCAGAAGTTTAAGGTGTTGAATTTGCTCATATGCCTGTCAACTCACTCCCATTTTCCTCAGAATCACATACTGTCCCACTCTGCTCTGTGCTGTTGTGGCCTCACCTCAAGCTCTGTATGCAGTTTTGAGCATCATGAAACAGAAGAGAAAGACTGTCCCTTCACGCTGCCCTGTAGAGTCAAAATCTCTTGCTGAGTTTGCAATGTTGGGGATGTACCTCAAACTCAGCATGTTCAAGTTGGCAGAGTTCTTAATTCCTGATTTCCAAATCAAGATTATCGGGGACTGATTTCTGGATGTTGTGAATGCCTGTGGCTCTCAACCATAGGGTTTGGGCTTGGGTGGTGCTGGTGCTGTGTGGAGTGTGGGGCTGGGGTCGGTGATCCTTGTGGGTCCCTTCCAAATGCTGATATTATGTGACTATATAATTCTGTGATTTCTCATTGTATCCCAAGCTGTATTCTCTTCCCCTTCTTTCCGTGCTCCCTCTCTCACTATTTCAGCTGTCTCTCCTGTCCATTTCAGCTGCCTTTCCTCTGCTTTTTACCTTTTCTTTCTTAATTCCTGCTTTCCTTTATCTTCCTTACCTTAGACATATTCCCTCAGTGCCTTCTGCCCCATAGTCTCCCATCCTATCTTTAGTCCACTTGACTTAGTCCCTTTGTTCTCAGCTGTCTTCCTCTATTTGTAGATATCAGCCCCTTTTCTCCCATTTTTTTCACTCCTTGTAGTGTGGAAGAAGTTTTTCCACTGTTAGATCTGCTCCCTTAGTGCTTCTCAGGAACTCTTGAATCAGCAAAATGTATGTGATGCAGCCTGTGTAGAGGCTGCCTGCCTGTAAACTGGTAGACAGATATTTGAAGTTGAAGAAAAGACTACGTTGGTCAGAAATTGCTTGAAAGCATGTTCATGTGTTGGGAGGATCATAGGTACGTCCTTAAAATTGATGCAGCCTTTCGGAGACTGAAAGAGTGAACTGAAGAGCTGTATGAGCAGACTAACAGACTTACTGATCCCCTTATGGATGCCATTTCTCTGGTAGAACTACAAACAGCCCAGCCTCTCTTCTAGCTTTCTTGATGTAGATGTGCATGCGGTGACTCTTTTAGAGATGTTTTTGTCGTTTCCAATCTTGTATAACAGCTGTAGTCACTTAGCTTTTAACCAGGAGAGCATTTTTATTAGCTTACTCACTTGTATTTAACTCCTCTCTTCTCATGATGACTTACAGAGTGCTGGGGTGTACATAACTAATCCCACCAGATGCTCTAAAGCACAGACTTGTGGTGATGGTTGCTAACAGTAAGGGCTTGCTTGGGATGAGATGCTGGAAAGGTGAGGAGGCTAGAGCTGGTCTGTGGTACCTTCCCGGTGAATTGGCAGCCAGAGGGGACCAAGACAAATGGGATGTACTTGGAGATGTAGAGCTTAAAGGTCTTTGCAGAGGGGAGTCCTCACTTCCAGAATGTGGAGTGGAATGCATGGAGGCTGAATCTCAGCACAGCTGCACCGTCAGCAAATATCTGTGAAGGCCAGTGGCAAAATGTTTGTCTTCTGCTCCTTTAATGACTGGTCCACGTAAAGAATGGAAATGTACTGCAGCTGTCGTTTACTCTGTAAAGTCAAATGGCTATGATTGTGGAGTCAGTATGATTACAGAGAATGGAATTAGGAGTTAAGAAATTCACAGGCAACTTTAATTAACCTTCTTTGTGTATATGCATTATGATGCAGTCTTTAATTATGTGATCGCATACTGTTTTCCCCAAAGCATTTGTGTCTCATTTAGCTCAGAGGATTGAGGTGATGGAGCAGGCAG